GAGCGTTCTTTGGAACACCCATTGTTCGGAGTAAGCTTTTCTGATTTTCTCAAAAAACTCAATATTATTGCCTTTTTCAGAACACCCTGCACACTGTTTCTGATTTTGGCGGGGAGGGAGGGGGGAAATCACCAGCTGGTTTTAAAAACATGGAGTTAGCTTGCAATAGAATCATGCTGAGAATCCATCACATTGTTGCCCTTCCTTTCCTCCAAGCAGCAAGCTCAGGTTGGCATGCGAGGTCATCTCCGTTTGATCCCCCTTTGAGGAAAATTAGGCTTGGGAGAAAATGAGTGTTGTGGCTGAGTGGAGACTTCAACCAGTTCTCCCCAGTCCTAATCTAAGCACCCCACTATACAGCCTCTCTTTTGAGATGTAAAATATGATGTTACAGGGTTTTCAGAAGAGCGCCATCATTGTGACTTAATGGCCAAAGCTTCTTAAATAAACATTTAAGCTTTTGTTGTATTGCAGGCCAGCAAAAACTCACCTTAGGGCCAGGAAGTCCAAGCCCCATGGAGCCTTTTGGTCCTGGCAAGCCTTGAAAGCCTGGTTCTCCCTGAAAACAATATGGAAAGTAGCACAAGCTTTCTAAACATGTCTTGCACTGCAACATTCAACAGCCACAAGGAAACTGACACTTCTATATTCAGATTCTTTTTGACAAAAATGCAGACCTCGTTCAAATATATACATTGCGTTTTGTGGATGTAGATTCATTAAACGTACAGAAAACTAACACAACACCACAGTGACAGATGTTCACTGCCAGCTTGTTCCTTGTAAAACTTCAGCTTCAACATCAATTGCGTAGGGAGTCATTAAATTAAGCTGAATCCCCACTCCCAATCCCTCAGGCTCATCCTGGGAGCTTAGGCAGCCACAAAATGTTTCTCCAGCAGCAGCGTTTATTTACTTTGCTAAGAGACATGATGACACCTATAATGACAACGCCTCAAATGACAGGAAATAGTTTTCTGATTTAAGGTTCTGGCTGGCCAAACCACTGAGCCCTGGAGCTTTATACACACAAGGAGTGCCGTAACTCTAGCGTCTGCTTAGCCAAATGTGGAGCAAGGCCATTTTTACAGCTTCACTTGCTTTTCGTATTTTAGATCTGTCTGCAGCAGCATCATAACCCACCAGCAATGATAGCCATGTTCATAAGGCAGAACTTTGATGTTCCTGCCTCCTTTCCTTTCTCTTCTCTCCCCCCGCCCCATACCATTCTGGATAGACCACATTCTCATCGTCACTATGGTTAGCATTTCTGTAACTATGTATTCAAAGCACCCCACATATATTGGGTTGGGTCCAGCCAGCTTTTTCAAACAATTTCATCAAATTCCTCTCCTTACTACATGCCCCACCCACCACACACAGTTTTTGTCCCTGCAAGGTTTCAACATAGCCTTTTAGGTGGTCAAAGGGGACCCCCCTTCTCTCTTTTTTACCACTGGAACAGCTACTTGGATTCAACCCATTATAACCCATAAATCTCACAACAACCTTGTAAGGTGGTTCTTCTCTTTAAAAGGGGATTAGATAGTTTCATGGAGGATAAGTCTATCAATGGCTACTAGCCATGGTGACTGAGGGAAACCTCCACATTCAGAGGCACTAAGCCTCTGAATCCCAGAGCCAGGAGGCGACATCAAGGAAAGGCCTAGACCTCTATGACCTGTTGCTGGCTGTCCAGAGGAATTGGTTGGCCACTATGTGAGGCAGGATGCTGGACTAGATGGACCATTGGTCTGATCCAGCAGGGTTCTTCTTATGTTCTTATATGGTTCAGCACTTTTATCCCAAAGCAGCAGCTGGGCTGAAGTAACAGCTGGGCTGAAGTAACATTAAAACTGGAGTACGTGCTAAGTATGCATTTGTTGCCCTTGTCTACTTTAAAATCCACACAAGCAGTGTCTAATCTATATTTCAGGGACAGACTGCTTTTATCACATTACTCCAAACTGTTTTTAGAGTAGAATCCAGATCTTCCGCTTGTTAAACTAGCAAATTTCCCCTATGAATAACAATGCCTTTATTCGTCTGGTTGCTTCTACAAAGACACAAAGGTGTCCAATTACTCAATTTAGAGTCTCTCTCCTCAGATTAATCATCAACTGTCTGTTTTGGAACAGAATCCTGAGGGTAGATCCAGGCATATGAACTGTTAACTTCCATTTCAATTATCTGAAGAAGTGTGCGTGCACATGAAAGCTCATACCTTGAATAAAACTTTGTTGGTCTTAAAGGTGCCAATAGACTTAAACTTTGTTCTTTAGAATACTGAGGGGGTAGACTGGGCTGTACCACTTCAGACTGCAGATGAGGAGAGTTACAGTTTAATATTTCCCTGTGTAAAAACTGTTTGCATATTAAAAATTAGCAAATCAGGGAGAAATGGTCTAGTCTAACTCTTTACATGATATACTGGATTTCTTTATGGAACATTCATGTAGGAGAACTTTGCAAAGTGAAATCCATTCCCTGCAGTTTGAAGTGGTACAGTCCATTCTATAACCTCAGCATCCTGCCATCTATAGTCCAGTCAAAGTAAAATGAAAAGTTAATTCACAAAACACAGTATCTGTTGTAAAATTCCTTCCTAACTCAAAAGACAACAGTCATTAATTGGTGATTCTAATATGCATTTTTACATGGTGCTGTCTTCATGCAGGGGCTATAATATCAGAGTTTTTACAGAAGTGGTATTTGTCTTTTTTCTTCTTCACCAGATGAAAATCTTGAAACTTACCATAAACAAAGATCAATGCCTTGCTGGATGACCACTTACTAAATAGTAGCTTGGGGTGATCCAAAAACCATGGGCCCTGAGAAAACCCAGATAAACTTCCAAGTAACACCAGGGGTCCATGCAACACAGTTAGAAAACCACAACAGTAAATGGAACTTAATACCACACAAGTCTTAATTTGTCAATACTAGCTGAGTCCCTGTTGCTCAGCACATCAGGGTACTAGGTGTTGATTCCAGATGGCTAGACACGACTCACCTCTGTTTCATGCAGTCACTCTCCTAACCATCTGAACATAGGCAGTCTTTCCACCAATGAAGAGAAGGTTCTTCACCTTCCCAGCAAATTTATTAGACCCTTCCTAGCAGTTTGAAAGCAAGAAATTGCAAGTAGATAAATAGGTACCACTTTCGAGCAAGGGAAACCTTTACCTTTATAGTTACATGGGCTGTACCCTACAAAGATTTCTACTGGTTCAAGACAGAGAAGGAGAAAACTGAGCTAATTTCCCTTTTTACTGCACCCTAGTTGAATGTGGCTTTTTGTCCACATGGGTCTCCAATTCAGTGGTACTACCTTTTGGTGGGTCAAAAGGGATTTATCCTTCTCCTTGCACTAGAAGATGAGTTCAGAGAAAGAACCCCACCAACACTTCCAATCCTGCTGCCTCTACTCCAGGATTCTGAGCCAATCCTGAGCCAGTTTTACTTTATATATTGAAGTCATTCATATGTAACAGTCACACTATTAAATACTTTGTTGTCTGTTAGCTTCCCCCCCATCTCTATCTGTTTATTGTCTGTCTAATAAAAAATCTAGGAAAAGGTGATTTCTATTTATATCACAAATAATCACAGCCTTGGTCTAGCAGGTTTCCAAATAAGAGACCTTTAAGGGACCACGTAATTTACATGCTACCAATCCTTTATTCAAAGCTTGTTTCAGCCAGAGTGGTGGGTTTACTATTTAAGCAGAGGTGGTTTACTGTTCAAATTGGAAAATTTAAATTCATTTAAAACTGTTATGCAAATCAATTGTATAGCTAAGGGGAAACAAGTTGTTTTCAGAACCAAAGCCCCTGTGCAATCATTCTTACCTTACTTCCTTGTGTACCATATCCTGGAGGGCCCTGTGGCCCAGGCAAGCCTTTTTGCCCCATGGCACCCTATTAATATTGTCCAACGTAACATAAAAAGAGAGAGAGAATAATATGGAGTGAATTCCAGAATGAAGTAGAATTTCCTGGAGTTGAACAAAACTGTGTGTACAAATCTACCCATTCCAAATGTTGGTGTAAAAGATAAGTCCCACCCCTCCAAAGCCTTTGTAGCCTGTACATATAAATGACAGGATCCAGAGGAGAGTGGCTGCCGCCTGATTCAGAGGTAATCAGTTGGTTCAAGCCTCAGGTTCATGTGCTTTCCCCTCCCTCTTGCTCCTCCATGTCTGTACTCCAGGTGCTTTCTTGACTTCAGCCATTTCTGCACTGGTTATCTGCCCCAGGTTCAATGGTGTTGGGAACTAGGTTTTTTTTTTCCCTGCTTCTCCATAGCATCATGGTACATTTATGCACCTCCCAGGATTTCTCCAGCTTTTCTCCAGTCTTTCTTGAACCTGCTTTGCTGTACAGCCTTGGGGAAAGAACTCAGTAAAGTCAGAATGGCTGCTGTGTGCGTGGGAAAGTTCATATTTTCCCACCCACATGGCAGCCATTTTCCCTGACTCTGTCCCTGTGGTGGCCATCCCCAGCCCCTTGTTAAGCCTATGTAATAAGTTTCTCTCGCTGAGTTATAGTGAGAAAAGTCATTTTTGAAAGGAAAAAAAGGGTTGACTTGAAAGGTTTTGTTTTGCTAACAGTGGAATCTTCCAGTGGCACAAGGAGCCTTTCACTGCTGGAACACACCTTGTCGACTGGAGGAAGGTTCCTTTTTCTGGAGGAAGTACAGAAACTTTGGCTCCAATCCAATGGTCAGATAAAAATTCAACATGAATCATAATTTTGTTTCTCTCAAAAACTGACCCACGCCTCACACATGGAGAGTGACAGATATGGAAGCAAGAGAAGGACTGGCTTAGTTGCCCATTTGCCCTACTCCTTTTCATCTTCTTGCTGTTAAGGGACAGTTTATATACTTGTCAGAACCAAGTGCTTGCACTACTTGGACTGTATCAGAGATGTAAGGCGAATGTATGCACACACACACACACAATATAGAAAAGTAGCATCACAGGAGTAAGGTTTAGCTGAACCTTTCTTCATAGCATGCTAGTTTTCTATGTGTAGAGAGGTTTACCCCCCATAAACATGTTAAACCCACCCACTGCCCGCCCCTGCAACAGCCAGAATGGTATATCCAAGAGTTGATTCTATTGATTATACAAACTACCTCCTAATAATGGCAACAGATAAGCACACCTGCATGTATTTAGCGAATCAGGTTCCCCGGCTGAGATATACAGATACAGAGAAAAGTAAATACTTATTTGCAAGATATCTACCAACCAACTACATTTAAAACTCGCCACTCCCCGCAAGAAAAGAAAAAGCAGAGATAGGATGCTGGGCGTCAGCTGCTGTAAGTGCTTTTCCTGCAATGCAGGGTAACATTTTTTTAAAAAAATAAGCAAATACAAAAATGGCAAGAAGTAGACGGTGATGACAACTCTAACTGCACTGGATTTTCAGGCATTGTAGAATTCAGACATCTATATAAATGTGCCAACTTCCAGAAGAGACTCTCGCTAACCTTTGGCCCAGGTATTCCGATTCCTGGTTGCCCAGGAGGCCCTGAAGGTCCTCTCGTTCCAGGTTCTCCCTAAAAAAAAGGGGGGGGATACAATATGAGCTCTGCAATCTCATCGTTTTATAATGCTGTCCTCCGTGGTATACTCTTCCAGCATGGATTTTCTTACCTATTTCCATTCATTTTTCATCCCTTCTCAGCCTTTGTGTATTAAGGACAACATGCAATATGGGCTCGACTGTGTTCCCCATGGCCATGGCCAAAACAGACCTAGCATTTTCTATGGATTGAAACACAGAGCATCTAGCCTTTTCTATGGAATGGAATGCAGAATCACAGAAGATGACGCTGCCACTGCATCGTCCCACTGTTTTACTCATCTTTGATTTAAATTACATATCAGTATATTTTTAACTGGGAAGATGTAATATACCTTTAGCAAATCAAATTTAATTATACCAGATAGCTGAAAACAGGACAAGACAAAAAAATGAAATAACGATTAGTAATTATAATAATTACTCTGGTAAAAATAATTTCATATCCTAATTTTTCTTACCCCTACTGCTTATCTCTGATGAAGGGAGCTTTGGCTCTCGAAAGCCGGTGTTGATCTTTAAAGTTCTATATGGTTTGGGACCAACCTACCTGAAGGATTGTCTGCTCCCCAAAACACATCATAGTGACTGTTACCAAGTGTTCATGTTCAGTAGCTATACTGTGTAAGAAAACACAAAGGGCTGGATCTGAGGACTCCGTTCTGCTGAGTGAGGGTGGTTTTCCTCCAACAAAGCAAGTGTCCCTTCAACAGAACAAGACTCATTCCAAGAGATGATGGTACTTAACTTAGAGGAAGGTAGTAACCGGATCCAACCCTGTGTGTGAGGAAGAGTGGGAATTTGCCTTTGCACATCCAAGGCTGGATTCACAGACATGCTATGGGCTACCAGTAGGTGGTGCCAAAAGATTCTAGAACATCCTCTATTGTAATTTAGTTTCCACAATTCTGTGGATTTGTAATTTCTGTTTCTGCCAAAACATTCTGTATTTGGTCTGCAATCCCATACACATTTATGTTCAAGTGCGCCTCAGTGAACTCCCTTACATCCTGTTTATTGTAAATCCAAGTTGGGTCATTTAAAAGAATATTGTGGGCAAATATTTTCCCCTTAACAACTTTAGAAACAGACAGGCCAAAATGCTTGAAGTGATAAAGGATATGTCCACTTTCTTCTTACTCAAGTTTACTATAATTGACATATTTTAAGGGAATGCTCCACTCACCTAGCCTTTCTCATGTAATAGATAGCTGGTTTCTTTACCTCAGTGACTTGGCAAATCTGCAAGCCGGAAGCCGTTCCTTTCACATTACCTCTTGCGTGACTGGTCTACCTGCACAATACTTCTTTCCAGGGTACATCCTCAGGTCTTGTTGGCAGACATCTTCTGGGAGGTCACACCTCCCAGGTGTGCACAAGCCTAATTCAGATGAGGACTATGATGCAAGGGAAGAGCATGCTTAAGCCTTCACCACAATGCCATTATCCTGACCAGAAACAACCCTGGAGAGGGTGCTATTTGCCCCACTGGGAAACAATGGAACAAACAGTGCTCCCCTGGGACCATTTCCACAGCGCATTGATGTTTTTAAAACTGCACATTATGTAAAATTTTCCACAGTAGATTTTTTCCTCACCAAGCACAAACCTGAAGTTTTCTCCTTACCATGCTAAAACTGGGGATTCCGAAAATGCGGGGTAAGGAGAAAACTTCAGGTTTGCGCCTGGTGAGGAAAAATCTACTGCAGAAAATGTCACATAACACACAGTTTTAAAAACCTCAATGCAAGCAATTTCAGTACTGCGGAAATGCTGTAGGAAAACAGCATAGGGGAGACCTGTCCTCTCCCCCTAAGTGCCACAGCCCCAATCCAAATTAGGATTGTGTGTGCCTGCGAGGCATGGACTCCTAGACCATGTCCGCTGACCCAACCAAGAGACACTACTGGGAAAAATATATTGTGTGGTTAAATGGTTGGTTTAACAATGTGAAAGCCAGAAACATTTTCCTTCTCATTACACTTGATACACTATCAGACATGATGGTTGTACACATGCTTATTTGTGCGTTGGAGAACCCCAGTTGGTGGCAGGTCATCATTTTCTCCTGAAATGAAGTCAAAATAATGACTCCATCTCATTGCATTTATGCTTATTTATTGTTATGGCCTCTCCCCTTATGCCTCTTTGTCCCGTTTTGTTATCCTTGTTGCTATCTCTTACCACCCTTGTTCATTAACTGTACTCAAATCATGCTCTAGCATTCTAATCATATGATTTCAGGCTCACAAGTCATTTATCCCTAAATTATTTGAAAAAATATGCTTTGTAAGGATGGCCAGGGTTTCTCTGGGGATTTGAAGTTGCATAATTTGTAGTCTGGCTTTAATTTTATATGGAAGCTACTCTGAAGAGGGGCCTGGTAGGCAGAACAAGAGGGGCTTCAGTTATGTTTTGGGTCCAGATTTGGCCCAACACTTTCCGTAGCTGATATTTATTACAGAGGTTTCAAAGTAACATTATTTTGCACATTTTTTGCTTCTCCTATGAGGCCTTCTTTTTATCAAAACAATGTGTAATATACACTGTGATCTTCAATTCAATAAATATTTTGTTGTACAAGCTCAACTCCTTTAAAGCTAATGGAAAGTGTTCCTTAACTCTAATGGGATTCTAAAAGCAGATTAACTGAAAGTTTTGGGGCACCTTAAAAGCTTATTGTGCCATACACTTTCATGATTAATGTAATTTGTTATTTATATACATATACATTTATTTATTTATTTATTTATTTATTTATTATATTCTAATTTATATCCCGCCCTACCCCGCCAAAGCAGGCTCAGGGCGGCACACACACATATATTCAGCATCTCAATATTGTTCAGCCTTATGTGTCTGGTTATTTTGATAAACATATTACCATTAGCCATTATTGATGAATGGCTGTTTGAATATGTCATCCAAGGAAAATGAGCTCATGGGTGGTAACTGTGTAAGACCAATAAAACATCGAGAAACACCCGTCTCTGTGCTGGACTTAAGCCTCAGTTCTAAAGGCCAAGATTTTGAAGAGAGTTGCTTCCTGCAGCTGGCTGTATCTGGACCTTTGGGACCATGTTGGTGGTTTCAGGCTTTGCT